ACATATTTAAAAAAAAAAAAAAAAAGGAAAAACTTTTTATGGACAAACGGGCCTTAATATTTGAATTTAACTTTTCATGAAATAAAATGATTTGTTTGTAGTTCTCTTTCAACTCTACAAAATTTAGACCTTTTATGAGAAATGACTAAGTTAATTTGAAATACAGTGACTTTGCTGTATCATAAAGGAAATTATGAGCATTTTGTCGAACAGTATACAGGCAATATCATTTCTAAGAAAGGTTGTTCTCACTCTTACAATCTTTCTTCTTCGTTTTTCTTTTTTGTAACAGGTGCACCCATTAATGATCATACAAAATTCAGTATCTTTCACCTTGTGGGTGATCTTATAGCACTTATTGAAGCCATAGCTCCAAATGAAGATAAGGTGTTTGTTGTGGGTCATGACTGGGGTGCTATAATTGCTTGGCATTTGTGCCTTTTTAGGCCAGATAAAGTTAAGGCTTTGGTTAATTTGAGTGTCCATTATTTTCCAACGAACCCACAGATGAATACTGTTGATGGACTTAGGGCTATATATGGTGATGATCATTATGTCTGGAGATTTCAGGTTCTCTCTGTTTTAGTTTGTGTATCTGTATAATTTGTGTTTGAAGGGATTTTACAAGTTTTCTGGGGACTATCGAATAATTGCATCGGAAATTTGACATTTTTAGTATGAAGTATGGACTACTAATTAGGGAAAAAAGAAAAAGACTTCATATACAAAATAAATGAGTCGTGATAAAAGGCAGCACGGTGCATTAAACTCTCCTTATGTATGTGGTTCGGGGATGGGCCGAACCACTGTAAACTATGTTGTTTGGATTCTCTGAAAATATTGTTGGGTGTGTGTCGGATTCTGCAAAAGTAGTGCATTTTTGGAGGATCCGGCACGGGTGCGACAGCATTTGGAAGAGTCCGTACAACATAGACCCTGAATCTATTGTAGATATTTTTACCTTACATTTTTGCAAAAGATTGTTTTTACAGCTTGAACTCGTAACCATGATCACACAACAATAACTCTTACTGATGCAACAATGCTCTCCTTCTCCTTTGTGAAGGAAGTATTTTTTAATTTGATAAAAAAGAGGTTGTTCTATATGCCCAAAGAAACTATCCCAGTAATTTATTTGGAACAACTCACATACCATTCAAGAGTTTTTTGAGTGGTTAATAAGGGCATAGGTTAGCAGTGGGAGTTATGTTGAGATTAAATTAGAAAGTTCATCAATAATCTTACCTGCAGGTACCAGGAGAAATTGAAGCTGAATTTGCTCCAATTGGTGTTAAGTCTGTTCTTAAGAAATTTCTCAGATTCCGCGACTCTGCACCATTTTATTTTCCTAAAGGCAAAGGCGTTGAGGCTATCCCTGATGCTCCAATTGAGCTTTCATCTTGGCTGACTGAGGAAGATTTGGATTACTATAGCAGCAAGTTTGAGCAGACTGGCTTCACTGGTGGAGTTAACTATTACCGAGCTTTTCCCATGTAAGTCTTCCTCACCTTTATGATATCGTAAATTCAGTTGCATTTGTTTTCCTCGCGTTACTTGTATACTTCACATTTGTTTCTACCTAAGTTGCACGGGCTCTTCGTTTTGGGTGCCGCACCCATTCCGTGTCCGGGATACGTCCCCGATAAGGTCAACTAACTTCATGTACTTTGACATGAGTCCATCGACAAATTTGGAGAGAAAATTGAGATTTTGATTTCTCAAAATTAAAAATAAAACAGATTTTTAAGACATGGGAAATGGCATTCCTTCAATATTGTAGTACTTTTGTCTCATATTTGCTGCTTTGTGTTTCAGAAAAACCAAGAATTCAAGGAGTCGTGTTCTGAGTTCGGACTTTTGGTAGACATTAGCCGCGATATAGATGGAGGATTTTTCACATAATATCTCTCAAAATTTATAATTTCTTTATAGCTCTATTTTTTGTAATTTTGAATTTTCTTAGCCGAATCCCCGCACCCGTATCCATACCTAGATCCGCACCCCCGGATACTAAAATTTAGATTTTGCCGAATCCGACACTCGAATCCGTGTCCGTATCGAATACCCGCACTCGAGTCCGAGCAACTTAGGTTTAACTAGTTGGGATTAAGGTTTTATTTGTTGTTTCTACAATTGCATTAGGTTTTGATCTTTGTCAAGAGACTTTTTGTTCTGATTAGCGACTTGTATACTATGTGCGTATAGAGATAAGTATGAGATTTAGAGAACTTTTACCTTTAGAAATCCCCAATTTGCCTAAATAGACAAATTACTTATTATTGAGTGAAACAGTATGTATGTTCTGTGTAGATATATGTATGAGATTTAGAGAACTTTTACCTTTAAAAAGTCTCTAATTTGCCTGAAAAGACATTACTTATTATTAGAATGAGGCAGACCTGAATAAGGCGGAATCAATACCATGGATTTGTATGGCCGACTCCAACTAGTTTGAAATCGAGGTGTAATCAATTGATTGATATAAGTTGTCATGTTTTCTAGGAAGTCAAGAAAATTGTGAAAATTCATGAGACTATCCAATTAGTTGCTTACAGATTGTTTTGATCAATTTTTTCATACATGGAAGCTATTAAGTCTCAGTTCTTTATCAATTACTTGACTCTAATTCCTCCTCTTTAGTCAAGAAAATGTCATTTGTGGTATATAAAAGGGTAGCCCAGTGCACAACGCATCCGCATTCACTCAGGGTCCCGGGATGGGCAGCACCCCAAAGGAGTGTGACGTAGACAGTCTATACTAATGCAAGCATTAGTGGCTGCTTCCACGCATCGAACCACACAAAGACAACTTTACTGTCTGTGTTATATATTTGGAATTTGAAATTGAATGGACACAATTTACATCCTAAAGTTCTCTGTCCTATGATGAAATGCAGAAACTGGGAACTCACAGCACCCTGGACAGGAGCTCAAGTTAAAGTTCCGGCCAAGTTTATGGTCGGAGAATTAGACTTGGTTTATCACATACCAGGTGCTAAAGATTACATACACAATGGTGAGTTTAAGAAAGATGTTCCATTGTTGGAGGAAGTGGTGGTTTTAGAAGGTGCAGCTCACTTTGTTAACCAAGAAAGGCCAGATGAGATTAACAAGCATATATTTGACTTCATTCAAAAGTTTTAAACTTACTCCTTCCCTTTGTATTTTCTGTTGTAATAAAATCTCTTTAATGTTGCTCTTATTGCTTGTAAAATGTGAAACCTTATTTCAGAGAAGTGACATTTGGACTCCTTTTAAATGGAAAATAAAGGAGGAATAATTTAGACTTGAGAGGGAAAAGCCAAAGTAATTTGAAATTCAGTGTCTTTTTTATTTTTTTTCTGTTAGCAGATAAAACATGAAAGAAAGACTATTAAAGATACAAGATAGGCATAATTTTGACTGACTTCTGGATGTGAAAATTCAAATAAGGATGAAAGATACTAGTAAATGGTAACAAAATGAAAAAGAAGGGTTTTTAATATATTTGGCCAGCCGGACAAAAATAATTATAGTTACTGGGCAAATATACATAAAGTATATACTGTTTATGTATAAAATATGTATAGCATAATATATACTACAAATTAATATACAATATTTATTTATTTATTTTGCTATTATTTTTGGAACGGTTATAATGCGTAGATTTTTTATACCCTAGGAAATTTCACATTGCATAGACAAGAATGACATTTTGACCTGGTCTTTTACCTAAGAAATCAAAAGAAAAGATACCACTAAAAAACTAAAATCAAGAATCATGCTTCTGAAATTTAACATTACATGCTTCTTAGGAATCATTTATTTACGGGATACTTATCCCATTGGAGTTGTACTGTCAGTTGCACCCTTGTATTTTGGAGAGTCCTATGACCCACTATATGTATTCAAAGCATGAAAAGAGTGGAAAGACAAAAAACACAGGTTAAAAATTTAATTTCGCCACCTTTTTTTAAAATGTATTCCCCTACTTTTCTTATTATATTTTTTCTTCAAGTTTTCCTTTTCTTTTTCCTTCTTCTCTCTTCTTCTTCACTTACTCCTCACCTGAAACAATGGAGATTAATATAACCCCATTTCCTGTCATCCTCCTTAAATGTGACCAGATTTCTTAGAGTTTACAAACCTTTTCTTAAAATCCATAAAGCTTGCATAAAGTTTTACAATTTTTTTTCCCCATAGATTGTTGACAGAAGGAGAAGGAGTGCGGGGAAGTAGGGGTGGGTGGATGGGTCTCTGATGGGCTTGTTTTGGGAAGAAGAGAAGACATGGGGAAGTGGGGTGGGTTTAATATAGAAAATAATCTTTTTTTTTAATTCTTTTTAGCATGTTGACACGTGGCAGCGCGTGTCTATCACCCATTTATCTTGAGGAGAGGTAAAGAATATATCCAAGACAAGGATAGGGGTGTACGACCCACCCAATATAAGGGTGTAACTGGCAATTAGCTACCACCCCACCACGACTTGTAAGATTAAAATATTACATGCCTTTTGCATTAGGGATGGTAAACGGGCGCGCCGAGTTGGAAATAGATCGGTCGAAACTGATAAAATATCCTACCAACTCATATTTAATACGGATAAAAAATGGGTTAATTGGTGGATAATATGAATACTTATATTATCCGTGGCTTTTTGATACGATCACTTTGAAAGAATTTTTAGTCTCCCCAGTTTGAGAACTCCAAATTTGAGTCTTTGCAAATATAGAAGTTAAAAATTAAAATCATTTGGTTGTCCATAAAATATCAATTTTTAAGTAGATAATATAAATCTTATACATAGTTGGTTCATTATTTAAAAAATTATTATTTAATTTATTTTTTAATAGATAATATAGATGAATAATTATTTTTTAATCAATTTGTCTCCGCTACTTGCCGCATTGGTAAGCCAAACTACATTGTCGAAATATTCCCGAGAACAATGACTTAACACCCTCAAGCTTCGCGAGTTATTTGTGAAGCTTGAGACGTGTTAATTAAGGACACTATTGGTAAGTATATTTTGCCAGAAAAATTATGCCAACAATAATAACATCTCACTACTAAATAAGCTGGAGTCGAGCGTATGAATCATCAGGGACCACTTTACTAAATTATTTAAAACAAGGACAAAAGTTAAAGATCAGGCTTTAAGAGGATATCGATAAAAATATTTCTTAGTAGTTGTTTTAAAAGGAATGATACTTTTTTTATGTTTGAAAAAATTTTAACTTTAAACTTTTTATTTTATATATATTTTTATAACCATAAAAATCTCATGTCATATCAAAATTACAAGTTTCAAAAGTTTTTATATTTTATTTATTCGATCAAACTCCGTCACATAAATTAAACCGAAAAAATTAGTTCTTATTCCTACTAACTTGAAAAAATGACTAGCTTTAACGTAGTATTAGTACACGCGCGATGCGTGGACAAATCATGTCAAATTGCGATGTAGGTTGTTTGATCATGTGCAAATAACCTTAAAATATAAACCTCTCAGATAAAAATTATATAACATGAGAATTTAATTATGAAGCATGATATGAAATTATTTTTCAAATCTCGTAGTAGACAACCAATTTTTTTATTTCTTTATTTTTATATTTGTAGCAACCTAACCCCTTGATTTTAGTACTTGCATTTCGTTTTGCTGTCAATATTAAAGAATACTAAACATGTCATATTGTGATTCGTCTTGTTCGAGCACATTAGTCATATTATTTTAACAAAATTCTTACTATCACTTTATTTTTATCTGAAAGTCAAATATGTCTCATTCATCACATCATTTTAACGTAAATTCTGTTTTCTTTTTGTTCTTTTCTTATAGTTATTGAATTATTTACTATTTAATATTATTACTATCATAGAATTTTTTATTAGCTTATAATTAAATTAACATCTTGCTTATTATCCTTTTTATAGTATATAATAAATATAAATGTTTTATTCTTGAAATTTGGTATATTTTTATGCTTGTATCCTCTTATTCAGAATATTTTAATCATTTAAATTTATTAATAATATTTTTAAATATAATTTAATTATTTTATTTTATTTATTTTTAAGTTAATTTAAAGTATAAGTATCCTCACACTACCTCAATTATTTTTTATACATTCTCTTCCCTACTATAAATTTTAATTAGTTTTTATATTAATGTTTTACCTATAACCAAAATAATGTCATATTTTATTTTAAATTGTAACTTTTAATTAGTCTAAAATATTAATACATAAGTTATTTGATTATCATGTTCCAGGTATCATCAGTTCTCTTATAATTAATTTTATATTAGATGCAGTTAAATTTTCTTTCTTTTTTAGCTACAAGATACAGTTTAATTTTTACTTTTCATTAGTAAACTTACCAATAGTAGAAATTTATTTTGTATTTTTAAAATTTTATTTAATCATAGAAAAATATTTACTTAATTGTTTGAACACGTTATTTCTTAATATTTATCACGGCCCCAGTTTCCCCTCTGTGGGAGCCGTGATGGCACCTAATCTCTAAGACTAGGTAAGCCTAACAATTTGCAGAATAACTGAATATAAAACTGAACTCAAATCTCAACATATGAAATATAAACAAGAACTGCGATTTTTAATAATTATAACTTCCAAAACCCGGTAGAAATAAGTCACAAGTTTATAAGAGAAAATACTAAGTATCTCTATACATCAGAGTCTAAAGAGAATAGGGAAAACAATATAACAAGGATAGAGGGGGACTCTGAGGTCTGCGGACACTGGCAGATATACCTCGAAGTCTCCACGTAGGGTCCAGCTCACTGGTATCTGGTCTGGTAGGAAGAATCTGGATCTGCATAAAATAATATGCAGAAGTATAGTATAAGTACACCACAACGGTACCTAGTAAGTGCCAAGCCTAACCTTGGTAGAGTAGTGACGAGGTCATGTCAAGGCCTACTGGAAAAAAAGAAAATGAAGCAGAAAATATAATAACACAATGAAATGACTGAGAAATGAACAACAAGAAATTTTAGAAGAGTAACAGCACGACAAATAGAGGTAAATAACAAGGGCACTCCCGAGGTACCGCCTCGTAGTCCTAAATATAAATACACAAAAAGGGGATCTCCTAAAGTACCGTCTCGTAGTCCCAAAACTAAATATGCACGACAGGGGGATCTCCTGAGGTACCGCCTCGTAGTCCTAAATATAAATACACAAAAAGGGGATCTCCTAAAGTACCGTCTCGTAGTCCCAAAACTAAATATGCACGACAGGGGGATCTCCTGAGGTACCGCCTCGTAGTCCCAAAAGTAAATATGCAACAGGGGGATCTCTCGAGGTACCGCCTCGTAGTCCCAAAAGTAAATATGCAACAGGGGGATCTCTCGAGGTACCGCCTCGTAGTTCCAAAAGTAAATATGCAGCTCATAAATTATGGAACAACGAATTTACAGCAAGGAATCCTACAGTCAAAGGCCGAATACAATAACCAAGGAAACAGGTAATTCAACTAAGCATGTTGCATGAATTTCAAGTAAAGATTAAGACACGTAGACATGTGATATTAGGCTAAACATGACAACTACACATGCTAAGGTAACTCGGTTAAAGAATTTAAAAGAAGTCTACTCAGCAAAACTAAAATTTTTCATAATTAGCCCGTGTACGCACTCGTCACCTCACGTACATGACTCACACATATCACAAATTGTTATAACAGTACCAAATCCTAAGAGAATTTCCCCCACACAAGGTTAGACAAGTCACTTACCTCAAATCTCGCTCAATCAATCGATAAGGATGCCTTTCCTTCGAATTTCTGACTCTGATGGCCCAAATATAGACAAAATCAATTACATACCAAGAATACAACTACATGAAACTAATTTAAATCATAAATCTACGACTTTAGCAAAGAATCAAAAAATTACCCCAAAAAGTCGACCCGAACCCACGTCTCAGAATCGGGCAAAGGTCACAAAATACGAATACCCATTCGACCATGAGTCCAACCATAACAATTTTACCAAAATTCAACACCAAGTCGCCACTTAAATCCCCAAATTAAACTCTCCAAATCCCTAGCCTCAAACTCTCAAATTTCACCTTAAATACACACAAACTAGGTAGAAAAATCAACGGAGAAATAAGGTTATTGATCAAAAATGAATACAAGAGACTTACCTCAAAAAATTCTTCAAAAATGCTCTCACAAATCGCCAAGACCCGAGCTCAAAATGTTTAAAATGAAGCAAAATCGTGAACCCTTGTATTTAAGTATTCTGCTAAAACTTTCGCTTCTGCGGAAACTTAACCGC